CCCCCCCCCTTCCCTTTCGGTAATACTTCCAAGCGCTACAGCGCTTTCCGTCATCAGCATGTGCATCTTTTTCCTTGGCACTACTGGATGATACAAGGTGAAACATATTGTACCTATGGTTGCATGGCCTTCTTTCTGGCTGAAGCTGGACATCGGATTTGGGCCTTCTTCAGGCTGAGCTGGGCAAGTTGACACTCAGAGGGGGTGTGTCATTCATGAAACAAAGGAGGATTTTCTCTGCTTCACTGCTTGCATTTCTCTTCCCACCCCTTCTGAGTGCCCGCTGCTGCATGGAGGATGCAAATGTTTCATCCCTATAATTCCAGAAATCCTTAGGGTTGTGGCCTTCCCAGGCTAAATCAAAAATATGGTCAGCCAAGTGCCACTTAGGCTTGGCATGCCAGGAACAAACATCATTTTCATCTTCTCTTTGAATGTGAGATTCCAATGCCATGTACTGGCTCTTCAATGCCCTTCCATATTTGGCCAGCTTCCTGCCATTGAAAACTTCCATGTGCTGATAGACTTGGGTGGTGAAGGTGGCAACTTTGTGGATTGCCTTTTGCAGGCTGGTGCCTGTGTCAAAATTGTGTGCACTTGTCAAAGTGCTCAAAATCCCCTGCTGCAGAAATGCATGTCGCTGCTTTAGTGTCAAGTTCAGGGGCCTTCCCAGGCTTGACAATGTCAAGCAGAGTGAGTTTGGGCAATTGCTCACTGGCTGGGACACCCAACTCTGAGTAGATAGTCTGGATATGTGCCCACAATCTGCTTGCTTTTTCTTGCTTCTTCCCTTCATAGCAGGGCAACAAAGGTTTCAAAACTTGCCCTGCGCAGGCTGCACCACATCCTTCATCCATGACACGCATCCAATCAGGGACTATGGTGTGGTTGGTAATTGGGTTCACATGCAAAAGTGGTGCTATGGCCTTTTTTCTCAATTCCAGGCTTGCCAGAAATTGGGCCTTGTCCAGGCTTTGGCTCTTTCTCTGATCTAATGTTTGGCATCTCCACTCTGTTGGCTTGCAGGAGCACAGCCAACACATTCCTACTTTGACATTGTGCATAGGACAGCCATACCATTTTGAATTCCAATCCCAATCTCCTCGCATCATAACTACAACAGCCTTGCACAGGCTTTTGCCAATTCTTGTCAATCGAAAGGATTCTTCGAAAGGAGCCCCATCATGCCTTAATGCAGGCTGCGTTCCCAATACCAAATGTTGCAGGCTCCAAGCAAGAACTTCCAAGATGGCCTGTGTGGTCTCTGGCCCTGCAATGAATTTGGCATCAACACAAGTAAGGGGGACTCTCAATTGTGAATGCCTTGAGGCCAAGAGGTTGACCGTGATGAAATCCAAGCTAGATTGATTCATTCTGCCTTGCACAGGCACTCCATCACCATGAATTCCTAGAGGCACCATGCCTTGCGCAAAGAGCGATGGCCTCCAGCCTAAGAGCGATGGCCTCAACCTAAGAGAGATGGCCTCCAGCCTAAGAGCGATGGCCTCAACCTAAGAGCGATGGCCTCAACCTACCTCAACCTAAGAGCGATGGCCTCAACCTAAGAGCGATGGCCTCAAACCATGGCCTCCAACCTAAGAGCGATGGCCTCAACCTAAGAGCGATGGCCTCAATCTAAGAGAGATGGCCTCAACCTAAGAGCGATGGCCTCAGCCTAAGAGAGATGGCCTCCAACCTAAGAGCGATGGCCTCAACCTAAGAGCGATGGCCTCAACCTAAGAGCGATGGCCTCAACCTAAGAGAGATGGCCTCCCACCTAAGAGCGATGGCCTCAACCCAAGAGCGATGGCCTCAACCTAAGAGCGATGGCCTCACAACCTAAGAGCGATGGCCTCCCAACCTAATAGAGATGGCCTCCAACCTGAAGAGCGATGGCCTCAACCTATAAGACCTCCAACCTAAGAGCGATGGCCTCAACCTAAGAGCGATGGCCTCAACCTAAGAGCGATGGCCTCCAACCTAAGAGCGATGGCCTCAACCTAAGAGCGCTGGCCTCCAACCCAAGAGAGATGGCCTCCAACATAAGAGCGATGGCCTCAACCTAAGAGAGATGGCCTCCCACCTAAGAGCGTTGGCCTCAACCTAAGAGCGATGGCCTCAACCTAAGAGCGATGGCCTCAACCCCTCAACCTAAGAGCGATGGCCTCAACCTAAGACTGATGGCCTCAACCTAAGAGCGATGGCCTCACAACCTAAGAGCGATGGCCTCCTAACCTAATAGAGATGGCCTCCAACCTAAGAGCGATGGCCTCAACCTATAAGACCTCCAACCTAAGAGCGATGGCCTCAACCTAAGAGCGATGGCCTCAACCTAAGAGCGATGGCCTCCAACCTAAGAGCGTTGGCCTCAACCTAAGAGCGATGGCCTCAACCCCTCAACCTAAGAGCGATGGCCTCATCCCAAGAGCGATGGCCTCAACCTCAGAGCGATGGCCTCCAACCTTAGAGCAATGGCCTCCAGCCTAAGAGCGATACCTAAAAGCAATGGCCTCCACCTCACTAGCGAAGATAATTAAGTAGCACAAGTACAACATTCAGTCTGCTAACCACTTAGTAATCCTTGTAACTACATAGTAAGCACTGCGTCTTTGTTCGTGTTCAAACCAAATCGATACGTCCTGTGGAAAATGGTGCGTGGCGCGCGACTCCGGAAGGCGCCGTCGCCGAGAGCGTCCGCAAGAGCGCCCTCGCCTGAAAAAGAGACGTCGTGTCAAATGAGAGACTCTTGTTACTACTAGTAAGGCACTAGTTTCTAGTAGCTTCTTGTTACTACTAGTAAGGCACTTGTTTCTAGTAGCGTGGCACTTGTTTGTCGTGTCGGGCCCAAAAAGTTCGGTTCCGGCGACTGAAAGAAAAGAAGCTGCCTGGTTCCAGCACAATCTCTGCCTGGAGAAAGAGAGCGATGAGCTAAAGGTGACGTGAAGCTTGAATTCCGGAATTCAAACTGATTTCTCTGGTTCTGTCCAAAGCTGAAGCTGCACAAATTGTCCTTGTCTTTTCCGGAACAGCTAGCAATCAGGACACCAGGCTTGAGGACCAAAACGTCATCTGTGTCCACCAGATGACAGGTCACTACACTGTTCATCACGTCACTATACCTGTCGGAAGTGAAGCACCTCACCTGCTGAAGGGGCAGCACTTCTCGACAAGCCGCAAAAAGGACATCCGTCAGCTCCATCTGTTTCATACATGTTTGGTGACGCGAGGTCACCGGAGCAGTCACACTTCTTGTGCTGCCTTGTCGATATAATTGCAACCTTTCCTTCACCCGCTTCGTTTTTTCTCAAATTAAGTGCAAACGCTGGCTTCACTTCAAATCATCGCGATCTTTTTGGTGCATCTCACCTGTTCTGAGCCAAGATTTTTCACGGTTAACACCGTGTGTCCACACCCTGTCACAACATCCATATTGACCAATAAATGCAGACCCCCAAATGCAAAGACCAATGTGTTTTGTTTTGCATTCGCTTGTGAAAACGCCAGGGTGCCAGACTCTGAGAGCCAGGGTGCCGTTGGACACGGCAGCTGAGAAGGCCTGACAGACATCAAGCTGAACAAATGAATTAAAACACGTTTCTTAGTTTTATAAACCACATAGTCAAGGAGTCTTTCGGATACAAAGATCGAAACATCCGAGGCCACGTTGGACGTGACACTTCGTGTGCACTCTTCGCTTTAGCACAGAATACTTCGTGTTGAAGGGTTTGAATGTTTCGGAAAACGCTGCGAGACGCGATCTCCAAAGCGAGCGCGGAGTTGCAAATTGCAAAAGCTGAATTTTCAGTAAACGAGCTAGAAGCGCTCGGAGGGGAAGGATAAAAGGAGAGCGTAAGAAAGTAGAAGGGTATAATCCAAGTGGACAGAAGGTTAGAAGCATCAGCACAGAATCGGCGCTCGGCCCAAGGGCAGAGCGTCAATCCTCCCGTTTCCGAATCCGAACGGCAACGGAACTTTGGCCCTCAACGGTTGCCTCCAGCGTGCCAGGCTGCGAGCCAGGCTCCGCGGCCTTTTCTGCCGCGGCCTTGTGGAAAAGGGTTGCACTTAAAAAACGAAGAAAACGAAAAAAGGAAAAAGGAAAGAAAAAAGGGAAAGAAAAAGAAAGAAAAACAGGAAATTCACGTTTCAGAAGTTTTCTTCGACTCCGGATGCTCGAGAGGAGCATGTCTGGACGATGGAGTGGCGCTCGAAACGAGAACGTTGCTTGGTCTCGGACGACGTGAGCGAAGGCTCCCAGTTGAGCCAAGCATGCTCGGAAAGCATCGTTCGAAATGTGAAACCACAAGTATATGGGAAAACATAAACACAGTCTGCGCACCAGTCTGCAGGTAGTGAGCAAAACAGGAAAAATGTCTTGTAAACCTAATCAACGCATCGAACTAATCCCCTCTATGTCGAAGGATTTGTCCATATCTAGACGAACTGAGGCCAAAGCTGGGCCGGTCGGTCGAAATGACATGTACAATTCGGTGACAAAACGCTCCAAACTGACAACCAAAACCCCGAATGTTGTGCCGGCTTTATAATGCATCATACACCAAACAAATCCCTTTTGACATCACAAAAACGTTGGTGATTGGGTTTCTGTGGACGTGTCCTTCGGCGTGGGAGGGCGTTCAGCGGAGAGTCACATGTGAGACCCTCCAAAACAAGCATCGGCCGACAGCCACGAAAGACTGATGGAAGACCTGAAGTTCTTTGGGGGACACAGGGAAAACAAAAAAACAAAATAGTTGTTTCATGTTGTTTCTCCCTGTAGGAAAATATTCCCCCAGTCGACGAACATGTCCCACAGCCCATATATACTCCTGTATCGAAATGCAACGATTCAACGTCCTTCGCCGCAGTTCCAATGACAGAAATCGTTGATCAGTCTCCCGACTTTGGATTTCACAGACTTTTCTTCATGCAGTTGCACCTAGTTTTTGCAAGAACAATAGTTGCCCGCCATGCGAAACAGGGTTGTGGAACGAAATTCCATTGAGGGAAACAATTGATCACCAAAAAGCTTCCACCTCGCGTACCCCTATAGAACTGTCAGATTATCAACGACGAAAACCCAAGATTCTACCACGGGCACCAGCCGTTGACAATTTCCTCGTCAAAGTCCTTCTTTCTTACCTCTTTTATCCAACGTCACAAAAACAAGGGATTGACAGGCATCGCGTGTTTTGGTCAAAAAGTGTCGAGCTTCAAACAGTGATTCCCATCGCACATATTGTGCATCGCCTTTTCTTGTTCCTAGTAGCTTCTTGTTACTACTAGTAAGGCACCTGTTACTAGTAGCGATGCACTTGTTCCTAGTAGCTTCTTGTTAAGCAATGTTGCCAAGTGTTTCACCGGGGAATCTTTTTGCTGTCTGCACATATGGTTTCAGCTGCGGATTCACCGAGCGGCAGATTTTGTGCGCTTTCCACTTTTTGGGGTTCCAGCAATTTTGCTACCTTGCCTTTTGGGTTTGTAAGGCAGCTTGCGTGTATATGCATTGCAACTTTCACTGCGTGGCCCTTGTTGCACCTGCGAGGCATATCTGCATGTAGCATCTAAGTCAAGTACCCAACCCACACGTGCAACGTGCAACATAGACGTCATTGTCCCGCCCGCCCCCACCCACCCAACCCCTTTTGACAACACATACATGTAGCATCAATCCAACACCCAACCCGTGTGCGCAACATGCTAACACGGAAGGACGAAACAACCCCACCCCCCATGCAAAAAATGTCTCTCTTCACATCAACATCACACCACTTGCATCATCCGAAGAGCATCATACATCTGCCTTGTTGACGAACCCTCGATACGTGTCTCTTCTCTGGCTCAAATTTGAAGGTCAAAAGGAACGAAAAATGCAACGCACAAAAAGTCCAAAAAGCCGACAGACATCGCATTTCACTCCCGAGCGTCCAAAAAATGTTTCGCAATCTTCTAAATGTTAAAGATACAAAGACTGATAAAAAGAAACAATTCCTAGTAGCTTCTTGTTACTACTAGTAAGGCACCTGTTACTAGTAGCGATGCACTTGTTCCTAGTAGCTTCTTGATTGTAAACATGGATCACGGTGCACTCTTTTCGCCCCGCTTTGGGGACATCACTTCAAGACGCGTAAGGCATACCTCAGAACAACAATGTGGTTTCCATCGAAATCCGATCCGTTCGAGCTCTGTGCTCTCGACTTGTGGGTGGAGACCAAAGCTGCCCACAGCCCAGACAAAATGAAGGCGAACTCCGACCTGTGCCAAGCAACGCCTCGCTTTTCGTAACAAGTGCCTTACTAGTAGTAACTAGAAGCTACTAGGAACCAGT